AATGCATACAAGATGGACAGGAGGTGAGAGATTGATAGAGGTGCGCTGTGGATGTGGACGCCTATATATGTATACGTGCACTGTATCACAGGTATCACGCCAACCTCACTCCTTTATCTCATTCAGACCTCGCTTGACTAGATCAACAACAAAAGAGAATAATGAAGCCGCGGCGGTTTCTGCGGGTCACATTCACAGCTTGCTCATCTGAGCGTTCGCTGTGGGAAAATTGCTCCAATTTCAGTAATAAGGTTTTGCCAGAAATTATGAAGTGTAGGTGTGTGTGAATCAGCCCTCTCTGTCTTTTTCACTCCATTTCTCTCTCTCTCTTACTCTTTTTTCTGTTCTGTTATACAGTCCCTAGTTAAAAGAACACCTCCACCTCCACTGTTTCTGCATAATGATCTTCTGTCATCTGCATAATCCAGAAGAAGTGCCGAAGTTGCAAAAGAAGCTGCGCCAGTCCAACCTCAGTGTTATTTCCTAAAGTTTAGACAGGGATCTTCTGGATGTCCTTGAGGGAGCATCAGTTAAGACTTTATTCATTAAAGTTGCGTACAGTCAGTTCAGATCAACTCAGTAAAAGCACTGTGTGCAAACTTCACCGAAGTGTTATTACTTATCACGTTTATCATTGGCGTATGCCTGTGACTGATCGTGCATCTGGCTGGACTGCGCCTGTTTTAACAGCCCGAAAAATAGCTTGTTGTGCAGTTAGTTTATCAAAATTATGATCAACGTCAATAATATCAATATAAACAACAACAACAACAACAGGAGTGAATGCAAATAACAATTATGCCTGTGGTATCATTCTTTTAGTTCAGTCTCTATACAGAGTTAGTTTGTATTTGAGTTTGAATATTATTAGAATGACCTTCCACCCAATAACTGCTGGGATAGGCTCCAGCTCCCCCAGTGACCCAGAAGGATAAGCGGCTTAGAAGATGTGTGTGTGTGTGTGTGTGTGTGTGTATTATCAGAGTGTAATTTGTGAATAGGAATTTGTAGATGTAGATTCTTCATTGGCTCATTAGTCCTTCAGCTGAGCAGTAAATATACTATAAAAAAGGTTTGTCAGTTCAACTTCAAAAACATATTGTATCCACAAACAATTTAACTGGATTAATTCTACACAGACAAACACTTTGAAAGATATCACAGCAAATTCAGCTCCCAGATAAGCTCAGTGCTGTGCTTGCATGCGAAAGAGAATTATGTGACCGGGTGGGTTTATTCATGGTGGACAACAAAAAGCTCATGAGCTGATTGCTTTAATTTTATTGGTCTACTGTACCTAAATTAAGGCATTTAATGCAAATTATATGTACAGTGGGGTCCAAAAGTCTGAGACCGTTCCTTCCGTTGCAGCTCATACTCAGATGACTCTCAGGAGGTTCTGCACAAACAGGTCCGTGCAGCTCGTGTGCAAACGGGACATTCTAAGAAATTCTGACGTTCATGTTAAAATTTCAAAGATCCTACGGATTCAAAGGTGCATTCAAACTGTTATGCTGATAATACAAATCCAATTCCAAAAAAATGTAGGGACAGTAAACCAACTTTAACCTGATTTAAATGAAAATGTATTAATTAAACGGGACAAAACAGCACAGCATATTTAATGTTTTATCAGCTGATCAGTTTGGTAATTTGTTTTGTTAAAAATGTGCTTATTCTGAGATTGATGCCTGCAAGAAATTGAGACAGGGGCAGTTTAAGACTAGAAACATTGGGCCTCGTTCACCAATATCTGCCGAAGTTTTTCTTAAATGTGTTCTTGAGAAAGGTCCTAAACTAAGGGCTGTTCTTAAAGAGCAGAACTGTTCACACCTTTGTGCTCTTGAGAGTGAGTAGATTCTGTTTTTACCTCAGAACAAATCCCAAATAAGAAAACACTGGTGAATCTCAGAATCTTCGTGAAAACTGCGTAAGTGGATTTTAAGAAGAAATTTCTTCGTAAGAATGGTTGGTAAATGAGAACCAGTGTGAAATGCTCATAAAACATCATAAACAAATCTATTTTAATAAATGGCATTTTACACACTGTTCCAACCTTTTTTGAATTGGGTTTTTATGAATGGACTTAGAAAGGAATACAAAATAGAAGCATTTTCACAAGTGGTCTCAGACTTTTAGACCCTGCTGTGTGTGAGGCTAAATTGGGGCAAGCCATTTGCAAATTATGTCAGGGGTGCTTCTAGAGTCCAGCACAGTTTGGTGATTTACCTACTAAGACACACCTAATTGCATTTGTCTGTTAATTGGTAGGTTTAGTGGGTGTGTTTAAGTAGGGAAACCTCCAAACTGTACTGGACACCGGCCCTCCCAGACCGGAGTTGTGCACCCCTGTTATGTGTGAATAAGGGACTGGGGGCAGATGCTCGTTTCCAGACAGCTGAAGATGATTCATGAGTTGCGCTCAAGTCACTGTTCTACAGCAGTTCCATGAATCAGACGTGGAGTAGTTCTGCTACTCCAGTCTACACGCATTGCTATGCAGCTTGATGAATAACAGCCATTCAGTGAAGAGAAATCTGAAGGTTGAATTTGAGCTCCTTGAGCAGCTGTTACGATAAGATACCGTTTCGTGGTCGGAACTCATTGTGTTAGCCAGGATTAAAGGTGCACATATAACGAGGTTTGAATTGAATGAAACAGATGTGAGATGGTGGATCTGCCAAGGCCACTCTTGGAACAAATGAAATGAAAAGGAATTGTGTGCATTTGAGAGAGAGAGAGCGGAAGAGCGGTGAGGTAGATTATGCAGGGATGTGTTCATTATGCTACACAAAGGAATATCAAAGGGGCAGCATATGGGTTAATGTGCATTCACAAGGTGAAGGTTCACAATGGAGTCTTTTGTCACTCCCCACAAGGCTGTAATCCATCATACTAGAGTGCTCTGCTGAGACAATGACCCTGTCTTTGTCTTACAGCTATGGGCATATTACACGTGATGTAATATTGATCAAGCGAACATGAAAATTTGCATTTAGATACTTTCTGTAGATACTTTTAGCATTTAGATACTTTCTGTACAGTGAGTATCTGTAGAACACTGAACAACTGCACTGATCATAAAAATACAGATTTAGACCAATTATAAGAGTCTGTAAACAACAAGCACTGTAAGTGCATAAACTGCATAGTCAAGGCCTTTTCACACCAAGTTCAGTGTTTTTTTTTTTTTGAACGAAAGTGGAATCGCTTCAGGTCTGATGTATGTATTTATTTTAATTAATTGTTTGCAGTTCTTACCAGACTTGACACCAGAATACCTCTAAATAAATAACAAAGGCTGTAAACAGTCACTAAAAAGCATCTGTACAACATATCGGGTCCTATTAAATATTTTACGCAGCATCTCAGTCCGTCAGTTTTGTACCCCTAAGGGGCCGTGGTTAAAAAAAAAAAGTTAATGACATTGAATTCCCTCGCAAAAAAATGTGTTCTCTCGCGTTTAACCTTGACATTAAAAAAAGGCTGTTTTCCCAGTTTCGCCGGTTTGTGCTGAGCTTATTCAGCTGCTGTTCTCTGCAGTGTCTGTAAATGTAGCTTTTACTGCACGAGGACACTCGATCTCAGTTTCAGTTTGAGTCACTAAGAACAGAATCATCTTTGATTTTGAGAAGCAACACGTCTTTATATTTCAATCCAAGATCAACATAAAATTCAGTGAGCTGCTTCATGTCTGAGCTTAAGCAAAGCACAGCTTTTCCAAGCGAATGCAAACTGTTTGCATCATAATACAAAACATTTGCGAGGGAACGCAATGTGATTATTTATTTATTTATTTTTTATTTATTTTTTTACCACGGCCTCTCAGGGGCTCCCTAGTTTTGGACTTTGACATGAAAGATGGCATTAATATGCATGTTAGTTTTGTGTTTTTATAATTGTCTGTAAATAGTAAAAATCCATGTTTTTTTCAACAATATTTAAATAACAGTAGTTTTTTTCTGTAAAAAGTAGTTTTTTAAGGAAAGGTTTGGTTTGAAGTTTTAAGGTTTCAAAAAACCGTTCAGTCCTCACTCCATACAGTCCGTATTTGGAAACTAAGCTGCAAAAACAGCCTGTTTTGAATTGATTGTTACATACATCCACCTGTTTAGCCTATAGCAGTTTAGCTCCACCCATTCATTTCACATTCTAAGCAGTGTTTCACTTCTGAGAGCTTTTTGAATGAGTCACAATACAATACAGCCAATCATAACACAGCTCATTTACATATAGCGGTCTTAAAGGCACAGTAACAAAAGCAGCCGGCTTAATTCTACAGGATTAAGACCATTTTTGGGCCAGTATGACAATATTTATCATTATTGTGATGAAGTACACTCTAAAAAGTGATGTGTTAAATAACAGCACACTCAGTTATGTCACCTGTTTTAACACTTTTTGTGCCATATTGTTTTAAATTCATATTCATATGAATTTAATGAATCACATGAATGGTTTTAAGTTCATATTGTGTTAAAAGTAACACAGAATTTGTCGTCTCCAACTGAACACACTGATGTGTCTAGTTAGAGACAGAATATGTTGTTCTTTTTAACACCTCTATCACAATATGTTTTTCTGAGCATATCGTGGATGTTGTCAGTACTAAAAAAACACTTCCTAACTGAATGTTTGATTATTGTAAAAAACTTCCTGAAGTATCGTGATATAGCATTTTTCCATATTGCCCACCTTTACGTAAAACAACACCAGTGTTTTAAGTGAAGCTCAGGGGAAAAAGTAAAATACAAGAAAAATGTAAAGGATGTCCCCTTTACAAAATCATTACCTTGTTTTTGAAAGTCTTTTTTTAATATGACTAAATTTTTGTTGGGGCAAAGTTTTACTCACAAGTGTGAAAAAAAAGGTTTGTGTATCTTAAAAAAGGCTTTAAGTATCGTAATGTTATTTTTTATAGGTTCAGCAGTGCAGTATAACTACAGCAGGCCTCCTGAGAGACAGTTTCACAGGCTGATTGTTCTGTGCTCTGTTTGTAGACCCAATCTACTTCTGGCAGCAGACAGAGGAGGACGTTACAGTATGTATCCGTTTGCCAGAGGGCACCACTAAAGATGACATACGCTTCAAACTCTCGGTGGACTGCTTGTGTGTTGGCGTGCGGGACTACGCGCCCCTGCTGGAGGGTCAACTCTTTGCCCCAGTGGACCCTGAGGCCAGTGTCTGGACCATTAAAGATGGCAAGAGGTGGGAGATGCATCTTAATAAGATCTCTGTTTTACTGTTGAACTGATGACCCACTGTCATCTACTCTATGGAGAATGAAACGATTGAGATTTTTAATTAGCATGTTTTATTAAATAATCAAATTGAAACAGTTTTTCCAACTGCAGTTGATCAGCCAAGACATGTTTGGTGTCTGATGTTATTTCGCCCCTACCATTTAGCCCTTAGGCCCTTAGGCCTCCGTTTTGTGTGTTCATGCCTAGGGGGTAGGGTGTCCCGATTCTTGTTGACATAGAGGGGTAGGGTGAAGTGTTAGGACTACGTGACCCTCCAAACGGAGGATTTTCAGAGTCATACTCCAAACAGAGAGTTATGATAAAAAAGAAGAACTGGCAGGATGGCTGAACAAGAGACCAAAGAAACCCACAAATGTGAGAATTTTCTACATTAAAAAATTACGATAACCACTGTATTATCTCAGTTTAATGTTGTTCCAGTGTATTATGGTCTTTTTCTTCATAACAAGCATAAAAAATCGCTAGTAGTGCTGATGTCTCTGTAACTAGTTAGCTAAATTTCTTGCCCGACCTTGAATGGAGCAGTTCTGACGCCTGAAGCGTCAGAATGTAACTGCTGCACCTTTTAAGGTGGAACGGAATAATTCTAACAGGAAGCTGGTGAATATCTGACTTCAGCTTCATATCACTGAAGAATTAGGGGTGGGTGATAATAAATAATTGCCCCCCCTTTGAAGTCATACGATTCCCTAAATGTAAGTAAAGCCCAGCAGTGAGGAGCTGAACTTTACCCTCCTCTGCTGTCACTGCAGACTGGCAGGGTCTCCTACAGAGCAGCGCTAGTAGCTGTTAATGAAGTGATGTTCTTTTTATTTAAGGGTCTCATTTCAGAGGAGAAGATTTCATCCACCACCCCTTATAACTCAGTCCAGGGGCAAAGTGACACTCGAAAACAGGGGTAGGGGTAAAAATAAGAAATGGGATTGGGCCTTAGTCTTAGTTTACACTGGAGACACAAAGGACACTCTTCTCAAACTCTGTTGAGTTTTCTAAATAATATGAAATTTCCTATTAAGGATGAGCCGGAATTTTGGAGAAGCTTAAAAAAGTGAATAGTAAATTCTGTCTAATGTTATAAATTATTATGTTTAGGAATCATGATGTGTCTATACTTCACCAGAGGGCAGTTAAGAGCCTGCATCTTATGTTTTGGCAGGAATTTCTTATCTGTTTAATCCAAAGATGGAAAGGCTAGTCTACCACACATCAGACAAGAACCTCCGTGCAGCGGATAGTACAGAGAGCAGCTGTAGCATGTAGAAAGAAAAAAGCTCAGATTAACAACGTCAGGTTAATTTTGCACTCTACTCGTGCAGATTTAATGGACTAAAACTTTCATTATCATTTACTGAATTTTTAACATTTGGTGTAAGCCAGCTAACTCTTGACAAACTCTCCATTCCTGAGCTGGTATGAGGTGGTACAAAGCCACAGTACGTCTTGGCCAATAACTAGGGAGGCAGCGATTATGGGAATCGTGAGCCGATGCCAATAGCTGGTATTTTTCATGTATTTATCTTCCGATACAGAAACAGAGACATTTAAAACATGACATGCAGAAATCGGGGCTACATGTACCTGGATTAGAATTACATAGAAATATAAAATTTATTTCTGTGGGGCTGCAGAGGAATATACCGTAAAAGGCACGTCTGATAATCTGAGTCGATATTTGCAGTTTTCTAATCGAAGTTCGCACATAAACTTGCTTCCTTGCTGAAGACAGCTATTTGTGACGAATGTGCATTTCTAACACAGCAATGAATGAAAAAACACTTCTAGCTCAACTTCCCGCCGACAGCCTTACTGGACTGGTCAGCATATGTACGACATGTCCGGTGCAACCAATCAGCACACCAGTAGCCTGTCTCAGTGTCGTGCCTACAGCATTACTGGATTGGTCGAAGCATGTTGAGTACACGACGAGTACAATCAAACTCTAATGTGTGTCGTCTCTGTGTTTGTGTGAGAGATGTGGGTAACGAGTTGTACGAGCAAAAAAAGAAAAAGAAAGCTGTGTCTGCTCTTGCTTCTACTCCGAGCATAACATGACCTCACTCACTCTGGCTTGCAGCCTGAGAGGATGGCTGTGTGTAGATTTTCAAGTTTGTTGTGATGCACAAGTTCACTGTAGCCAGACAAACTTCTGCATGCTACTCGAAACCTAAAAGCAGCATATTTGAGCCATTTAGTGACTGTGCATGGGAGAAAACGCAACACAGTGAAAGCGCAGTGTGCAGACGCTTCTTTATTCCTTGTTTTGGCACATTCCTGCATCTGTAAACTAATTTTGGATATGTGAGCCTTTTAGCTCTGCATTGGCACATTTACATTTTACAACTAGTAATACATTCACTCAATAATCCGATAACTGCAGAAAATCAGATTTTGTCAGTAATCCGATCAACACGGTTACATGCACTTGGGTAATAAGATAATGGGGAAACTCCAGGTCTACATGAGTCAGACAGTAATCAGATTTCTGCTTTGCAACCGGCCAATAAACTCACAGAAGAAGACGTGACGTAAACGTAACGTAAAACTCAAACTTCATACCACAGCTTTTTTTTTTCAACATCACACCACTTTACCTGAAAATATGAACATAGATCATCTAGAAGATGAAGAATATTCAAATCCTTTATTTCGTGTTTGGTTTCAGCACCGCTCCAACAGTGTTTCGCTGTGTCTCGCGAGATCCACCGTCTGATCTCGTGCATGCACAGACTGAGAAATCGGAGTACGAGTTTACATGCACTGAGAAATCTGATTACTGAGCTAAAATTCAGCTTCTTTATCAGATTTCTTAATCAGATTTCTAGATCGGAGTATGATGTTTACATGACCATTTTAATAATCGGATAACTGCAGAAATCCGATTATGATCGGATTATTGAGTGCATTTATACGCACTCAGTGTTACTTATGCAGCGAAACGAGCTGAAGACTTAATGAAGCAGTCTTGATGGTAACAGATAAAGCTTTGCAAGAATAATAATGTAATAGTAATGAAAAATTAGTTATAATAATAATGAGACAAACCTTAGACAATACACGCTATTCATTTAATTACATACTTTTTTAATATACATTATTGTTCATACTGTCTGGGTCCTTCATGCACTTCATTGTTTTAAATTTTTATGGTTCTGGAAGATTTTTATTACCTACTACCTATTTTTCAGAGTTATTTACAAGTTATTATTTCTGTCTCGTCAAAGTTTGGTTTTAAAGGTTCGCTGTATCTTTAATGATCATTTCCAAACATTTATACTGCCTGGAAGCTTTATGCTTTTAATTTTTTATAATGTTCAGATGTTTAGTGTTTCATTAAACGTTATGTTCCATTATTGTTCGTTTTGTGTAGGAATTGAATTTCTGTTTGTTTTCACACTGTATTTATGAGCAGTGAAATATGGCCCCAATTATCAGTTAATGCTCTTCTTCTTTACTAATAATCAGTATGAGCCCTGAAAAATGCATGTCGGTGGATTTGTCGAGTAAGGCCTGGTCAAATTAGCATTTGCCAGCATTTTTTTTGCAAGTGAAGTTGCATTCTTTTCAGTGGCATTTTTAAGTTTAAGTGACCCGTATTAGTATTATTAAATTTCACCTCTGCATTTAACCCATCCATGCAGTGAAACACCACATACACACTAGTGAATGCACACACGCTAGGGGGCAGTGAGCACGCTTACCCGGAGTGGTGGGCAGCCCTATCCATGGCGCCCGGGGAGCAGTTGGGGGTTAGGTGTCTTGCTCAAGGGCACTTCAGTCACGTACTGTCGGCTCTGGGGATCGAACTGGCAACCTTCTGGTCATGGGGCTGGTTCCCTAACCTCCAGCTCACGACTGCCCCCAATGCTGAGGGGGATGAGTTTAAATTAATTTCATGTGCACAATTTCACATCAAGTTCATCTTTGGTGAACATCGACACTCAAATCCATATCTTCTCCTAATAGCGCTGCTTCACTAGCTGTGTTGACCTGTGTTGATGGGGCGGGGCTTGATATAGCAGCACTGAAAATCCAAAACAGAGAACGCTAATTTAACCAGCATCTAAGCGCAAACCTTTAAGCACTGACTATAAATAAACTTATGAAAGGGAGACTAATAGTCAGTCGAGAGACTCTGTTGTTTTCTTCTACTTTTGTGGTTTTACTGCTTGTTTTAGACAATTTAGCCAGCTTGCTAACTGGAATGTTAGCTTCCTGGCTAACTGCAGCTGCACACAAGTCACCCCACTGTCGCCAACTACACCAGTTATTTCAACTTTTTTTACTACATGTCAGTGACTGGGTTGTACTGATTAAAGTACATGTAGTCTATGGATTCTTTCATGCATTATTCATTTGATTCACCTCTCCATTCCTTCCAGTCCTGACATCTCCTCTCAACCTATTAACCACTAATCCACGGCAAACCATGTCATCCTCCAGCGTCTCCTCCATTTTCATGTTTATGCTTTTGAGGCCCTCGATTCCACTGGAGGCCCCTTGATGCCTCTCCTGGAGTCTATGTCTCTGTTTGAGTGAGTGTGGTTGTGATTTGCATTTGGTTAGAATGCAAATATCTATGAGGGACATCTACACCTTTGTTTATTAGAAATGTGTACTGGAAAGCCTCCATGCTGAAGTGTACTCACTCTGAAAACATGAAGAAAGAACACCATAATCAATAGAATACATTTCCGCTCTGGCTCTCTTCCAAAAAAAAAAATCTGGCCCCAGAAGCATTCATTCATTCATTGTTAGCCAGGGAAGCAATTGAGAAGTATTCCTTAGATCGATAGGAGAACCATTATAGTCACTGAAAAGATGGAAAACATAAATCAAACAGATGAAATCTACAGTGTGGTTAAATAATCTGTATGTGTGTGTGTGTGTGTGTGTGTATATATATATATATATATATATATATATAATATGTATACACACACAATGAGCTTGTTTCTAAGCTCTTTGTCCATTTTATCAGCTCCACTTACTATATAGGTGCACTTTGTAGTTCTACAGTTACAGACTGTAGTCCATCTGTTTCTCTGCATACTTTGTTACCCTGTTCTTCAGTGGTCAGGACCCCCATGGACCCTCATAGAGCAGGTATTATTTGGGTGGTGGATCATTCTCAGCACTGCAGTAACACTGACATGGTGGTGGTGTGTTAGTGTGTGTTGCGCTGGTGCGAGTGGATCAGACACAGCAGTGCTGCTGGAGTTTTTAAACACCTCAGTGTCACTGCTGGACTGAGAATAGTCCACCAACCACCAATATAAATGTATAAATGGTTTCATGACATCTAAAGATGAATTTCAGAACCCGTCTCTGCTATAATGATGGGACAAAAATCAGAATATGAAAAGCACATAGACGTGACTTTGGAACTACAGCTTTGGCCAGTTATTTCAAGGCTGAGAAGTTCCACAGCAGTAATATATTTGCTTTATTTTTATCATTTTTTGACTTCATTTATTTCAAACATTGGGCCTCATTCACCAATATTTTCATTTTTCTTAAATGTGTTCTTGATTAACCCCAGACTTTAAAGCGATACCATGTTTTTGCATGTGTACATCATATACGCATGCAAACATCGATGCATGCGTCCACTGTGTATGACTGTAATGTGTGTGTGTCCAGTCTGGAGGTGAGTCTGCAGAAGCGCAGCGAGGGTCCGCTGTGGACTGAGCTGGTGCTGGGCGACAGGAAGGGGGAGTACATCATGAACGAGGAGCAGGCAGCACAACTCCACCAGAGACTCGCTCACCTCACTGCTGAAGAACTGGTTGGTGTGATGTTGTTTCCCTCTCGTTCTCTGCCTGTCTTCATCCTCATCCTCTCTCATCAGTCACTCCAGCCCAGAGCCCATCAGTAATCGTGCTCTACTGATTTAAACACAAGCTCTGTACAGATACACAGGTGGCATAGCCAGAATATTATGGTAGGGGGGACAGCTAGCAAGTATTAAAGTGCACAGACAAATAATCTATGTTGAATAATAAATTGTACAATATTTTGATGTATTATTGTTTTGCCCAAGAAACTACTAAAAATGGCATAGGAGGACCACTAAACCTCAACGCTCACTAACAATGAGAAGATCTGTGAATATATGCGATTATATAATTTGTAAACGCCCCCTTAACTCCCTATTTAAACCCCACCCTTTCCCTCACACCACCCTGCACGATGTCTCTATCTGTGTTACATACCAAACAGATGAGACCGAAAGAAAAATAAGCTTCTGCTGTAATTTTAATAATCAGAAAGATTCTGTCTGTCTCTCAACTTCACTCGCTCAGATTTGAGTCTTTATTCTCTAAACTCGCCTCGGTTTGGCATCAGTGAGCCAGAATTGCTGGTGCTTTAGCCTTCTAGGCTAACGTTTGCCTCTGGTGTTAACAGTGATATGAATTAAAAGTAGCTAAAGCTAACAGCTTCACACACAAAACACAGATTTACTCACTCAGAGTTGAGTCTTTATTCTCTGAACTTGTAAGTGAAGCTTCAGTGAGCCAAAATAAACCTGTGCTGTGGTGCGAAGCTGTAACATGCAAAGCTAGTGCAGTAGAATGCCACCTGCTAATAGAACAGCTCTGCACCAGCACTCTGATATACACTACCATTCAAAAGTGATTTTGAATAATAGTAATTACCAGAGAACTTGTAGAGAGGAGATTTACCACTCTATAATGTCTTCTGGGTTTCTCAAACGCTAGAGGGCGCTCCCGAGCGAGTACAAAATGAATGGGTTAAGATGGAGCATTTGAGCAAAATCGTAGTTTATAAATGCTGAAACATTTTTAATGTAAAAGAATAAAATCATATCCTGAACAATGAATAGCATAAAACATTTTAAACTGGAGTTATAGGAGTTTAAAACGACGCCTCATGTACGGTCATGTTGTCTCTGAGCGCAAACAGCCAATGAGCTGCTCCGCTCACCAGCCAGTCAGCTCTCAGTTGCAGTAATGCCAGCGTCCTGCTGCCCAAAACCCGTTTGCTGTAGAAAAAAGGAAACATACAGGTGAGTTTTCTTTGCTTTTTTAGTGAAATACATCCTTCTGCTCTCTAAAACTAAAGGAAAGTTCTGGGCGAGTGATTAGAAACTATTTTAACTTTTCGTTTTTAGTCGTTGAGCTCCATTTACTCCCATTCATTGAGGACTCGCTCGCTGGCGCCCTCTGCTGTTTTTGATCTAACGGGGGGGGGGAATAGGAAGTGGCCAGGCTCCTCATAAACTGGCTCTGCTATTTACTCACTCACTCATCATCTAAGCCGCTTGTCCTCCTGGGCCGTGGGGGTTGCTGGAGTCTATCCCAGTGCTCATTGGGCGGAAAGCAAGAAGCACCCTGGACAGGTCGCCAGTCCATCACAGGGCTAGTAGTAATTAACAAATAGATAATTTATTCAGGGATTACTTACATAGCGCAGATTAAAGTACTGTATAATAGACACTGAAAGGCATTGTTATATTCTCTCTTTCATATCTTTGGGAACAGCATGAGGATTAAATGATTAATAATATACTGTAATTATCCATTTATAGTAATTTCCTGTGAAGTTATCTGCCTCGTGATTTGATCAGCACTTTTTAAATATCAGCCATTCTGCATGTTCATTGGACATTTATGTCCACATAAAGTCTTCCACTGCTCCATTCATCATTCTGGACATGTGTAAAATTTCTTACAGGTTAATATTGGTTATTTGAAACAAAGGTCTCCAGCATTGCTGTCAAATGTAGTAGGCAGTCCTGTCTGTATCCTGTTTGTTTATACAATAATAATTTCTCCTGCACCTGTTTCTCTCTGGATTACTTTTCCTTTTAATGCTTCACCCCATGCGCTATATTGTCTTTTTAGAATCCTAACCCGGAGAAAGACAAGCCCCCGTGTAATGCTCAGGAGCTGGAGGAGTGCGATGGCTTTCCAGAGGACAGTTCGACACTAATGCGATTTGATGGAGCTACCCTGAAGCCCACCCATGTGGTAAGGCAACACATGTACCTCGCACACGCTTTGGTCAGTGAACTGGGCTCTGCTTAGTCCTCCAAGGCACTTAAAATACACTTGAATAAACCTTGGTTAAAGCTACTGGAAGAAAACAAAAACAGTTGTTAAAACTTTTCTAATAAAAAGATCCTGTGAACAGTTGTAAATGTGACATGATGAGCATTCACATCGGCTGACAAATATGAGGAATTCAATCTCATATTTGTTCTCTTGTTGCACCTTGACCCTCTCAGGCCTACATTATGGTCTTTCTGCCTTTGCTTACCTTTATGCTTTGCCTGATGATGGTGACATTGGATTGGATGCTGAACATTAAGTATTATATATCCTCAGATTCAGCACAATCTCAGCTAATGAGATGCATCCCATAGTAAAAAGTCAGCACTGCGACAGAAAACCTGCCAGAGTAAAAAAAAGTCATCATTAATGTCACCAATAAAGATGGTCAGTGAGCAAAGAGCAAACTTGAGCAAGCAGTGCAGCAGGACAAACTAACCAGATTTTCTTCAGATTAATCAGGGAAAGAAATACTCCCCATTCACAGACTGGTGCTTGTTTGTTATTACAAAATCTATAGCTTCACAGAAAAAAGCTACTTAAGCAATAGAACACAAAAGGGCGCATGTTATCGCAAAATAACATCACAGCTGTGATTTGGTCGTAGATCATCACAGCCATGATGTTATTGGTGATAACACACTCCTCGAGTGTTCTATTGCTTTTATACAACAGTTAAATAAATACAGTAATAAATTAATAAACTGGGCCGTGAACGCGGCGTTTAATATGTTTTAATGTTGGCAGTTCCTTCACCAAATTATAGTTCCTTAACAAGCAGCTTGTTGCTACGTCAGAGTAATGAGCTCCGCCCACTCGCTGCACAGCCGGCAGTTCGTTCTCCAGCTCCACACAGACCGACTGACAGTTTGGGAATTTAGTGTCGTCTCATCTTCAGAGTCTGACCAAATCGGCTGTCGGTCAAATGTGATCTTAAAAGTATCCATTTTCTGTTTGTGGCAAAGTAAGAAGTAAAAATGTTTAAACGGCTTGAGCGTCTCCTACAGCTGTCAAAGTCGTTGCTTAGCAACGGCATCTCAGCGGAGTGATACAGTGTTTGTGAAAAACCTGTGATGTTATGGCGAAATATCAGCACAGTTAGAACGCTTCTCAACCAATCAGCTCGCGTGGCCGGAACTACCTGTTGTATAAATCTCTATATTTCAAAGTACTGAGAAACAGTGATGCACTAAACCAGCAGGCACATGCCTTAATGAATATGAGTATGTAGTTGGCATGTCTTCCAAAGAGTGCAACATACAAGGTGGTGTCAATGCAAATAGATGGATTTGGCACCTGCAGTGTGATTTACTAAGACTGAAAATCATTCTGAGAATGGCGATTGCGTTTGTAAATGAATACTATTTCACACCAAATCACTCTGAATGATTTTGTTTACATCTAAACGGTTGAATGATTTAAAAAAATGTGCAAAATTGGTGGAGTTCCCCTTTAAGCTTCTTCAGTTTCACTCGTCAAATCCTGCTTTTTGGGATGTTTCTCTAGCTTCTGTAAATACCCTGCTGCGTACTTGGCGTCTTTTAGTTCTGCATTATGTGTACACAATACAAGGCTTGACCTATGAAGAAACTGAATATTAAATGTCACTTACAGACTCGAACTAGACTGTCAGAATGAAATAAGTGAGGCCGCAGATGATGAACAAAACCCCATACAACATAACAAGTATTTATGCCTTACTTTGGTTATGATGGCCTGCATAAATAAAAGGTTCAAAATGAATAGGCTGCGAGGCTGTGGTTTGTGACCGGCGGTTGACCCTTGTGATTAAATTACGCAGAAACTTTTGCATGGAAAAGCATGTCCAATAAATGCATTCTCATAAAAATGGGTTTCTTTGGCTATAAGATGTAGTGCATTTTTAAAATTTCATCCGTCTGCTGCCATCATTGTGTCCAAAGCTAGAACATGAATACATTTGGACTGTACAGCCAGAGAACCCGAGCACCTTGAGACTGCGATTGCGCAAATGAGACTTATCAGCCGTTTATTAATGTGTGTACATGTATGTTTTTTCGTGGTAGCCTCAACGCTGTTGACGTCATAGTGATTTATGCTCCTGACCCTTTCCGGGCAGCTGTAGCTGTGGTAATTGAAAGATTGCATTGACTTTTACTAAGAAATCCATTCTGAAGTTTCAGTGCCATGACTCATCTACATTTAAAGGAGATGTGTGTTTGCTGCGTCAAACCGAAATCAGTGACTTATAAGGAGAACCTCAGGATTTAAAGACCTTGCAGTGAGTGTTGGGCAGCCTTCACTTTGTAAGTGAAGATTCTCTGAGGAGCAGTTGGGAGAAATCTTGTGGAGGGGAATAAATTGAAGGGAACATATTTGTTATTGTTGTCAATAATTTCTCACTGTACAGTACTTCATTTATCAGGATATAAGATAATGCACTTGAATAAGAAAGGAGAAAGACAAAGGAAAATAAGTGAAGTTCCAAAAATGATTAAAAGCTACAGAGAAAATGGGCCTCCTAACAACCACCTGGAAGAGCTGGTAGACCCCAAAACTGCCCCCATCAGATAAACAGCACTTAAAGCTTTCATCTCTGAGAGAGAGGAGAAAATCAAGCTGCTTCAGATCTGAAAACATCCACAGGTGTTTCTGTCCATCCTTCCACTGTGAGAAGACGACTCAGCGCTGTGGGTCTGAAAGGATGTGTAGCTGTTAAAGAAGAACCTCACTGAGAAAAGGAGACGGACACATCAAACAAAGAAGCTGAACAGTGGACTGACCACCCAGACCTCAACATCACTGTTTACATACAATTTTTGCCAATCTGATTGAACACTTTCCGATTATAGATGAAGACTGAGGTGTTTATTCTCACTCTACTCAACGTCATGGAAAATCTCTGTTTACATGCTCACTACAAGTAATCAGATCCAAAATTACGTGCATGTATAGAGAACCACTTAGTGTAGACGTTACCATGACAACCAGCATCACGTGAGTCCAGTCAGAGTGAGATGAGCAGCAGTGAGCAGTGCTTGTGTTTTTAATTGCTTTAAAATGATGTCAGACTCAGGAAAATGTCCTTCACATGTCCTTATTAAAGAAGGCTGAGAGGAAGACGTCGTGTTCTGAGACACATAAGCTGGACGTCCGTCCCACCGCCGTCTTTTAAAGATCAGAGCATAAACTTTGTCTCCTCTGCAGACCAGTTTCTGCTCCGCCATGTTGAACGGTATAAACTTTCACTATGACGTGACGAACATGATCAGAACGGGCTTAAACTTTCCGATAGGGAATGTAATCAGATACAGGCGTTTACACGGATATTATTATTCTATTTAACAGATTATTTACAGGATTACCCACCTCGATCAGTCGGATAGAAATGCTATTCCGAATGGCCTCAATCAGACTAATCTGTTCCGATTGAGGTGTTTACCTGGACGCATTCCATTCCAATCGAGCTATTAGTTGGATTATTAACAGATTATCAGGATGCATGTAAACATGGCTACTGAATGTGATTGGGATTACTTGGATCATTAGAAGCTGAAAATGCAACCAGCTTATTGCTTATGTTAGAAGCACATACTGATCTACCGTGATGGAGAGTAACCAAGCCAATCAGATTAAGATTCCAGTGGTTTGTTTATTGAGAAAAACACGTCATGCTTTCTCCACCGGTTTTGCTTATGCTGCACACGTCGATTTGTCGTGCCATCCGGAGACATCTAATAGCAGATTGCTTGTTTCTGCTCAGTGTCTCTAGGTATTCAACTGAGAAAGAAATGTCCAGCATATTTTTGGTTTTCTTTGGAGTCAGCTGGACTGAAGGGCCAAAGTTCACGTTGGGCAGACGGAGCCACCAGGATGTTGCATTCCATGCTGTTTATTAATGTCAGGCTAATTCTCATGTTGGTTGCTCATTTGACGTCATTCTTCTCTATTTTTGAGCTTATAATAGACGTTTTATTTTCTTGCTGTTATCGGTCTACCTTTCCAGAGAGCCGTGGTGCTTTTCTGTCTCCGCATGTTTCTATACTTACTCTTAATGCACCTTTTGTGTGCAGCATGTCTCTCGGAGCACCAGGTGCTCCATTTACACAGGAAGAAGAAGAACCCTCCCTGATTCGTGCTTCTTTCTTTCTTCCCATCGACAATATCAACTCTCCATCTTGCTAAATCACTTGCTTTGATGCTGACCTTTCTCTGAGTGCGCTCACTCCCTGAAGAAGCCTCGCGCTTGGCGTTGCCGAAAAGGCTGCCCCCGAGACTTCCAATTGCACGTTTGTGTGCCCCAGCTGGATATGGGACCAGAGCCGAAAGGTCTTCAGGTGCTCCTTCAGCGCGGCGTATCTCCTCTGACTCACACCTGACCTCTCGAATCGAGCTAAGGCAGCTACTGGTTCGGGAAAGAGCTTTGACATTTACTGTAGATCCTCTCGAATCACGTATTAAAAGCTTCCAGCCGAGGAGTTTCAGACGAGGTGAAGGATGTTTCATTAAACGCTGATTGCATTTCTCCAGCGTATTACCAAGAGGAATGACTCTATATGCCTCTCCTATTAACGAGTGACTTGTGAAGTGGTTGGTTATTATCTAGAAGAGCACCGTCCTGCCTCGTGACGGAAATAAGATCGCTCTAAGACAATATGCAGATCCTGAACATTCTGTGCCATTTTCGTCCTGCAGGTTTAGGCCCTGTGTTTGGTAATTAAACCTTGTTAGCTTATGAGTTCTTCTCCAAGGTGTTGGAAAAAGCTTTTGAATATAATGAAGCCGGTACTGTTTTTTTAGTTATTTAGAGACGTGTTTCATTATCAGCCCTCTTGTTCTTTCCTGACTTTGCCTGGAGTTGACACCACTTGGAAAAGTCAGCCTCATCCACGCCTCTCGGTACAAAGCTGGACACTCTCTGCAGTTTCTACATAATTATG